CAAAGTCTTTAAGGAAAAAGTCCTGGTGGAGTAAGGGCGGCACTTTCTTCCATCTCAGGGATGGGAGCAGACTTAAATCATTGTTCTCACGGATGTCTGTTTCATGTTCCATGCTTCAGTGGGCCCATGACAGCCTCTCACTGCCCGCTGGTGCTGCCACAGGCTGTGACTGCATTCCAGTCAAGAGTGGAGGAGACAGAAAACACTCAGGCTGGAACCTGGCCTCGAGAAGTCATCTCTCCTTGACCCCCCCCCCCCCCGGAGACGTGATGAGGACTCCCAGAGGACTGATTCCCTGTGCTCAGGTCACAGGACCTGAGACTTTCAACCCTGGGAAGGCGTAGAGCTGAGAGTTCTTGGGGAGAGGCAAACCTCAGCTGGCATTGTTAACAAGTAACCTTTTTAGCTCTATGTATCCAGAGAGTGGAAGTCAGAAACAATGTAGAGCAAAACCAAGTGTCTGAGACATAAAATCTCTGGACAGGGGAAATGTCCTTTTTGAAGGGACAGCTGCTGAGGTGGTAGCTGGACATTGGTGGGATGGACTGGCCTCTGCACTCTATTCACACACTAGGCAAACTTCCTGCTTCCTGCATCCTTCCTTTAGGCCTTGGTTTTTCTCCACTGAGAATCCAGGCTGCCCTTGCTTCTCTGAGTCAACACACACACACACACACACACACACACGCACGCACGCACGCATGCACCTCCACACACAAACACACCAGCTCCTCTCCCACACTCTGCCCACCTCCCTTTACCCATTCACTTTGCTTAGGCCAACGCTGCCTCTGCTGTCCTGGCCACCCCTGAGCAAGGGAACAGAAGAGTTGAGATCAGAGCTTGACCTAAGGACCTTAGCGCTGGGGCGAGCATGGGGCAGGGTGATCTGGGATGGTAGTGTGTCCAGCCTATGGCGGCCTTGAGCAGGAAAACCCAGGGAGATGGGGACCCAGCTCAGTGTCTGGTACCCAGAGGCATGGGGATTCCACTGACGGAAAACACCAGCGGTTCCCATACAGAATGGGCAGGAGCGCCCCTGGGACAGCAGGAAGGAGTGGGAAAGCGTAGCAGCTGGGTGGGCCGAGGACTGGCTCCCGTCCCGGGTGGCAGGGTGGTGTCTGGAAAGAGTGTGGGCTGTGAAGAGAGAGCTCCCTGTGTCCTGACTCTGTCATCCTAGCTCCGGGACAGAGAACACCCACCTGCTGGGATGACACAGGTGCTGCTGGAAGCCTGCACAGAGTGGCCATGGGAGTCACGAGCAGAGCTTCTATCCCAGGCTGGCACTCTGCGCCCTGCCCACAGGGAGGGGCTGTGGGAAAGAGGCTTCGAAAACGGAAGAAGGTGACAGTGGCCAAAGCAGGCAAGTGCTATGGGCCGTCTCTTTCTGTTTACCCCTCAGAGACGACCTGAGTGCCCCAGCCACTGCGACCCTGAGCTGCTCTTGGTAACACGAGCTGGGCTGCTGTGCCCGGCTGGCCCGGCTGCGGGAGGCCCTGCACCTGGCTACCTCCAGGCTGGCTTCTCTCCGTTATCACCGTGAGAGCTTGGAGACGGAGCCCTGTGGGGAGGGAATTAGGCTGTTTTGATGGGCGTACAAGGCATGTCAAGCACATGCGGTGAATAGGAAGGGGAACACAGTTGAGTCTCTGGTCACTGATGCTGGAAGGGAGGGTGTAAAGGACCAGCAAGGTGGGGTGGAGAGAAGATGGGTGTTCTCTGGAGCCAGGGACACGGAGCAAGCCTCACGGGCCGTCACTGTAATCTTGAGGATGGAACTCTGCAGTGAACCAAGCACCGCTCCTTTCTTCTCTGCTCCTCCTGTAGCCATGGCAACCACAGACCTCTACTTCCTGCTCTTCTTAGCCCTGACCAAGGCCATTGTCCCCCCACCCTACACCCCACCCCTGCACCCCTCCTCCCCCACTTCTGTCCCTTTTGGTATAAAGTCCGCCCGCCCTCGTGGTTGGCCTAACTGGCATTTCAGGTCCTTTGTGTGGTAATGCCAGAGGTAACAGTTTTGCTAAGGCAACTTGTTACACAGCCGGAGAGAGCTACATCATCATCTCTCAGACCCTGCCTCCCTCTCACCCCACCCCCACCAACCTGGCCCATCCCAACAGCCTCCAGCAGGACCCCTGCCCCTGCTGTCAACCCCTCCACCCCCCTCTGTCCTGAAGCCAGTGTGAGGTCAGGAAGTCAGTTTTGAACTGTGGCAGGTGGGCTGTGGGTCCGTGACCACTGCTCTGCCCAGCTTCTCCTCCCCCCACTGAAGTCACTCAGCGTCACTGAGGCACTGCCAACGGCTCCTGCTGTTTCCTCTGTCCAGTTCCTGGAGCACGCTCCAGCTCTGGGGAAGGGCCCAGCTATCCGAACTCCCCCACACGGAAACTTCATTCACAGTGAGGAAGCTTAAAGAGAGATTTCCGGCCCTGAGCCTGAAAACCCTCCGCCAGGTCCTTCATTCTCACCCAGGCTTTGGTAGAACCTGAGTTCAGTTCCCAACAGCCAATCTGTGTCTCTCAACACCTGAAACATCAGCTCCAGGGGTCCAATACTCTCTTCTTGTGTTGAGAAGCACCTGGATTCACATGCATATACAACACACACACACACACTTTTTAAAAATAAAATAAGCCTTTTAAAAAGCAATAGCTTCCTAGATCCAGCCAGACTCAGGGACTATGTCAGTACGAGACCACAGATTGCTATGTACACTGAAGTCTGGGGATTAATCAAACCCCATCTGTCTCTGATCGACCTAAACGCGTATCAGGAGTCCTCAGCACCAGTGCAGGGGGCATCGTGGAAGCTGCTCCAGCGCTTGGTACCCAGTGATTGCACACAGGCCCCCAGGACCTGCTTGAACTAGGATACCAGCACCAGACCAGCCCCCGACAGAACAGAGTTCTGTTCTGCGTTCCTCACTCTGGGGTTCCCAGGCTCCGTTCCACACTTGTCACCTCCACACTGCCCTTCAGGCTCCAGGGCCTACACTTGTGACCGACAGCCGGCACAGGCCGACTCCACAGATATCTGTTCACAGGCCAAAGTGACTTCACTCCCTGCCCAGCTTGCTTTTGTTTTCCTTTCCCTTTCTTTGTCTTCTTTCTCTCTCTCTCTCTCTCTCTCTCTCTCTCTCTCTCTCACACACACACACACACACACACACACACACACACACCTATGCAGCCTAGGCTGGCCTCAAACTCCTGATCTTCCTGTTTCAGGTTTCCCAGTCCTTGATAATCTGATCCTAGGGTGTGTGCCTGCATGCGTGCGTGCGTGTGTGTGTGTGTGTGTGTGTGTGTGTGTGTGTGTGTAGACCAGAGGTCAACTTCAGATGTCTTCCTCAATCTCCACTAATTTTTAAAGTCTCTAACTCAGCGGTTCTCAGCCTTCTTGCCACTGCAGACCTTTAATACAGTTCCTGGTGTTGTTGTGGCCTCCAATCATAAAAATTGCTTTGTTGCTATTTCATAACTGTGATTTTTGCTTCTGCTGTAAATTAAAATGTAAATATCAGCTAGGCAACCTCTAAGGAGTCGTGACCCACAGATTGAGAACAGCTGCCTACTGAAGCTGCTGAGTAGACCCTGTCACTAGTCCTTTGTCCCAAACTGTCCAAGCCCCACCTGGCCTGTTATGCAGCCAGGCGTCTCATGCTGGGACTTGCTGTGGGGCCCTGGCTGTATCCTGTGGCTCTGAGAAACAGGCTCGGAACCCAGGATGCTCTGCTTAACGAGAAAGCTCCCATGAGCCCTCGGGCATAAAGGGACAATGGTGGGATTCTTTACTCCCTCCCCAGATCCGAGCGGTAAATTAACAGTGCCCAGAGAAGCTCTCCTCACCCTAAGTCTGAGACCCATTAGAGGCTCTTGACTGGAAACTTCTCTTACCGTCTCATTTTATCACTTGATGTTGTGAAGGTGGTGAAGACACAAAACAGCAGGTGTGTAAAGGAAATTGCAGGGTCTCTCTCTCTGCGACACACACACACACACACACACACACACACACACACACACACACAC